AAACTTTAAAAAAAAAATGGTAATGCATATTTGAGAAAACACTGAGATGATAAATTATGAGATGATAAATTATGTTTAATTAATTTATTTGCCTTGCTGGTTTTTCTGATTAGTTTGACTTTGCAGCATGCTTGTGTTTGTGTGTGTACATGGGTATGTTCCTTTGCATTTGCTATATGTGTGAGTGTATGGTTATGTTGTGTATACCCTGTGTATGAATGTATATATTTGTGTGTGTTTGTGTTGTACATCCTGTTTGTAAGTATTGAAAGACTTAAAAATTAGCAAAGCAATATAGCCCAGATAAGGAAACTCTCCAAAGGAATGTAGGGTGGCCTAATCCAGAAACTGAATGAGGCCACTACTATGACTTAGTGCCTGGAATTTACCAGTTTACAAGGCCATAAGATAACTGGGTACCTTGAATTCCCAGATGGCCACCCTCCCCGAGGGGCTCATGAAGGAAACAGATTGCCCCACTGGCCAATGTGTCAATAATTAACAATTAAGTGTCCCTATGAAACAAAGAGATAGCTACCATTAGTTAGTACATCCTGAGGTCTGCAGGTTTTACAACTGATGGGGTCAGGAGGCCATCTGATTCCCAGGGCTCCCCTCAAGACAAAGAGCCTCCTAGGAACCCATGACTCTGGTCACATACTCAACCAACAGAGAGTCGAAGCCCCTGTGCCTGGGGAATGGGGCTGCTCTCTAGCCTGCATGCTGAGAGAGCCCGTTTGTACAAACATCCACCTTTCATTAAAGCCTCTTGCTGTTTGCATCAAGTTTCTGCCTCTGCATGGTGATTGGGGTGGCCACGGTCGTGGGAAGAAATCCTGGAGGCCTGAGCATCTGAGGGGGTCTTACAGTATGAGTGTATATATATGTATGTGCTGTATATTCTGTGTGTGACTTGGCATGTGTATGTTATATATGCCACAAGTATGCTTATTGTTCTTTTGTTTTTAGTCTACCATACAAAAACTCTAATCTTTAAAGTAATCTCACAGGATTTTACTAAAGTATCCAATAAAGCTAGCACCATTTAAACATTTGTATTAAAATTAACACATAATTGCTATGGCTGTAATTTAAGGAGGTCAAATGAATTCCCATTATAACTATTCCAATATTCCACTTAATAACTTTAAGTAAAATACTCTCAAATCTTGACAGCCATACTTTTCAGTTAGCTCTCACAGGAGTGAGAAGTGAGTATCATCTGTACTTCCCTTATTTATGCCAGAAACAGTTTGAAACATGTTGTTTCCAACTTGTTTTATTTTTTAACAACCTCATTAGTACTGTGATTAGATTAATTAACTGCTAAAATGTCCTAGCCTAACTTAGTGGAAGAGAGTATTCTCTCTTGGAGGACTTTTACAGGACTCCTGTGCCCCTCCCCCACAAACACATACACACTTGGACCTCTTGGAGGTGTTTGATAAGTTCTGCTACTTATGGGCTAGCCTTTTCTATCAGCATTAGACTCTCACAGGAACCCTTTAGTCACTGAAATGTTTGGTATTTTCACTTAGTTTCTGTGGCTTTGTGTTTCTGTTTCATTTTCTTCTTTTCAAGTTGGATATTATGGGGGAGGGGGGAAATCCACCACCAACAAAACAGAGACAAATAAGCTTATCATCCTTCCTGTGGATACAATGCTTAGGACATGAAATCTCTCTCAAAATGAAAAACTGTACAATCTCCAAAACTCACTTTTCTAGTTTGTGTTCACCTCTCTCTTACAGTCTGTGCATTGGGAATTGTTCTCCTTTTCTTCCTCATGATGGAGCACACTACAAATGTGTCCTGATTCAACATATCACTTTCTGTTTTGCAGAAAGTTTCCCATGAAGATTTATTGTTTGTACAACTTAGCCAGGAGTGAGGGGCAGGACCTTCCTATCAGTAGGGGTCACAGTGGGAGCCATGAGCTAGAAGCTTTGTGGGTGGTATCGAAGGTCACCAATCTGCTTGCATTTGATAAGAGGCTTACTCATTTAACTTCTCAGCCCTTTTTAGTTGAATTGCTTACAGAAACTAAGAAAGAAAGTGTATAAGGGACACTGTAGACTAGAGAATACACCTCTGAGCTAAAATAAACATTTTCTCTCCACTCATCCACGCCAGATCTTCCAAGTTTCAAAAAGTCAGAAATCCGGATTTCAAGAAAAATTCCTCGATATTTGAAGAATCTGTGATGGATTCAAAACACATTTTACACCCTATGAAAGACAAATCCTCATGCTGGGGTTGCTAATATAGCATCTCCTCTGCAGACAAGCTGTTCACATTTTAAATTTAATGTCTAAATGGGGAGAAAGGAGAAATATCTCCTGATCTGCTGGTGTTTAGGTCCTGGGGAAACAACACAGAAGCAGCCAAATATGGGCAGGAAGCTCAGGACCGTCAAGGTGGGGGGGGCAGTCTTCTGTGCATCCCATTCAGCTTCCTCTAGGCTCACAAGGCTGTTAATGATGATTTCTGAACTTTGAATTTACAATATACAGCCCAAAGTAGTGCTTTAAAAATATTTTGACTTGACAAAGCCTTCAACTTACTAGCTCATTACCAGGGAAATAAATAATTCACAGGAATTCAAAGGCATTCTCCCCTGTCGGATGCATATTTCCTTCCCATATGTAATCCTTTATATTCAGAAGATAATGCTGAAATCTAAGAGGTCACACATTTGGTTTCACCAGAGAGCTAGTGCCTGTGCCAGAATTAGAACTCATGGCTTCTAAGTCTGCTGTTTTTCTTGGGCTGCTTGAAAAATCAGCACACAAGGGACAAACCAGGCAACAGCTGAAGTCATTCAACATTTAACATTGTTTTCCAGAATCAGGTCTTTTGTCTCTCGAAACTTCCCAACAGTCAGCATCTCACAGCTAGACTCCTTTAAGTCTGTTTCAATTTCCTTTTCAATTGACTCTAAGAACATACAAAATAAATAAAGGGTGAGTTGGTTAACATCTGTGACTATTCAGAACAAAGACTTGCCCTGGGGTTTGTAGCCATTAGAAAAAATTATAGCATCTCTGGGGCAGAGCAAAGAGAAATTCATTAAATTATTGCTTTGGAGGAGAGTTGCAACCCCTTCCAATAGTGCTTAGTGGCCATATTTAATAGGAAGATACATTCTGCCTCAGAAAATGTCTGAGTAAAGGACTCCATAAGGAAACTTCTGCCAATGTGCCCACACTTACTGCTACGCTACTATGCTGGCACACACAGCTGCACAGAAACAAGCATACTAATATGTAAAGTAAGCATTTCTTGTCCTTACTTAGAACTGTAAATAGGAGGAACAATTTTACGACATGAAGAGCCTTAAAATAAAGCTTCTTACCCGTATCTTGGGTCCAGTGCAATGGCCCTGGGATGTTCCATGGCTCCTGCTATCAATGTAGCTCTCAGAGAACCATCAAGTTTAGATACTTCAATTTGGTCCAGATTGCTGTCAATCCAGTATATGTTGCCTGCTATCCAGTCAACAGTCAGGCCTTCTGGAGTAGCCAAGCCATGTTCCACAACCACTTCTATGGCACTGACACCTGTTAGTAAAAGGAAGCCAACGTGCAAGCGATTCAAGAAGCCCAGAAGACAAGCCCATCTGTGATCACAGCCCAAACTACGTCACCTCTGAAGGTCCAAGTGGAAAAATAATACCTAACAGAGAAAATTGATTGCAACATTTATAGTTCCTGTTCCTCCCTACTAGAAATTTTCACTCTCACAAACCCTTCCAGGACTTTTGGAAAACACTGAAGTGATAGCAATGTGAGGCTGTAAAGCAATTACTTCCTGTTTGGTGTTTTCCTGACAGAACAAGAGGCATACTAAAACAATAAAGTATGGTGGGGAAAACAAGGCAATTTAAGTACAAGACTGTCCTTCAAAGAGAGAAGTAAGGCATGAAAGTCTACCTGGATCAACATGCATTGTAATTAATAACCACACCATTCTCAGTCTTTGGTTAGGTATCGTACATAATTTCACTTTTTCCATTTATAACCTCAGCAAACTTAAGCCCTAAGTCACACTCATCCTACTACCTGGCGCATGAACCTCATGGCAGGTAGAAACTAATAAGAGGGAAAGTTGTCAGCATGGGCAGCATAAAAATCAGCAGTTGGGTAATATCTGCCCTCTTTTCTATTTATCTACTACTTAATTTCTTTCATAACTAAATAAAATTCATTTTCGACACTTTTCTATGGTGTATTCATTGTATCACCTAAACTGTCAGTGGTTTCCATTATAAATTTATATAGTTAACAAATCAGTTCTCTAAAGTCACTATTTTTAGTCAGTATGTGAGCATACAAATTGGGAGTTTTTTTCATATTTTAACTATATTGTTTTTAAGTATTACTAATTTTGAAATTGTAAAGAGGATTTCATGAGAAATTAATAATTTGATAGCACTTATAATTGCAATGCCACAAACAAAACAACATTGACAAGTGAAGTACCACACAGCTTTATCTCAAACAGTACCTGTTGCTTATGAGACAGAAGAGGTAAATTTAATTATGGCAAAAATATAGTTTATATATTTGAAGAAGAATTTTCATTATTTCTTTGAATTATGTTGAAATGTGTTATTCAAATAAAAGTGAGCTACTTTAACTCCCAAATCCAATTACTAGTACCTAGAAAATAATCTTTTCTTTTCCTCATAAGAAAATACATTTTCTTCTCCATAACTCTCAGAAAAATACAATGAAAGACAATAGATGGGTAATCTGGGCCTGGCCAATTCTCTCCCTTAGCACATCTTCAAATATATACTCAATCTTCTGATTTCACACATACAGAGAGAACTCACAGTGAAGGATTAATAAAAATCTTTTCTGATATTATATATTGCTATTCAAAAACCAACTTCATCATTCGGTAAAACTTCAATACACATACCTCCATTCTCTGAAAGTTTGCCCCTGTATATTCTGTCTTCTACAACATCTGTCCAATAAAGTAAACTTTGATTGAAGTGAAAATCAAGTGCTATGGTGTTTCTCAGTCCAGGAACAAGTAGACTATAGTCTCCTTTATGCAGATCAATCCTCCGAATCTCGTGGCGTATAGAAAAGATGATGAATGCCTCAAAAGGATCTGTAATTAAATGCATTTTAATTGAATTTAGACATTTTTATAAATAAAATTCAATTTTATTAATTTTCTGATTGGATCTAAGACTCACTCTATTAGAATTAAAACATATCAGCCATTTTTAAAGGAATCTTGAACTTATAGCTAGAAAGGCCATGAGTCTTAAGTAAGTATATGATTCTATTATTTTGTTGAGTGGACGTAATAAAATGACTCCCAATTACTTATCATACCACTAGGTCAGAGACTCTCTCAACCTACATCTTATAAATCTCTTCTTGCAATAGATGCCCATTAGCACAGACATTTCCACCCCGGAAAAAAGAAAAAAGTCATTGAGTATATAATAAGAGATTGCACAGTGCTCAGCCATAAGTGGAATAGACATATCACACACCTTACCACAAGGTAGAAAAAGGAACAAGATTATATGAGTCAGATGTGGTTGAACAATAAGAAACAGTGTTTGTCAGGCCTAGACACAATAGGGCAGTTGTATATATGAACTCACAGGAATTGTGATAGAATCTGAAAGACCCAAATGAGCCCGAGTCATAAAAATCCCAACACAAAGGGGGGAAGGGCTGCATGAAACACCACTACTAGCTGAGGTGAAGGAGAGACAGTTATGTTTAAGGACATAACCACTGGTAGGTAGGCTGCATGCGAGGACAGGCCCCACTCCCAAGACTAGTTGGACAGTACAAAGTTGATAAGGAAAGAAAGTAAAAAGAAAGAAAGAAAAAGAAAGAAAGAAAGAAAGGAAAGGAAGCCTGATAATGAGATTGATGACTGACTTATATGCCACCTAATAGCCCTCATCCAGCAGTTGGTGGAAGTAGAGGCAGACACCCACAATTAATCACTGAACTGAACGGGAATCCAGTTGCAGAGAAGGACGAGTGAAGAGCAAAGGGGTCCAGACCAGGCTGGTGAAACCCACAAAAACAGCTGACCTGAATGCTGGGGAAGGCTTGCTCCCCAGACTGATAGCTGGGATACCAGCATGGGACTGATCCAGATCCCAGGAACATGGGTTTCAGCGAGGAAACCTCAGAAATCTGTGGGACCTCCTGTAGTAGTTCAGTCCTTATCCCTAGCATAGGTGTGGACTTTGGGAGCCCATTCCACATAGAGGAATACTCCCTGAGCCAAGGCAAATGGAGGTGGGCCTAGGCCCTATCCCAAAGGATCTGATAGATTCTGTTGACACCTTATGGAAGGCCTCACCATCCTGGGGGAGCAGAAAGGATATATGATAGGTAGGGTTTTAGTTGGGGGGAGTGGTAGTGGAGGCTGGGAAGCAGAGGGAACTGGGATTGTCATGTAAAACCATCTTGTTTTTAATTAAAAAAAAAGAAAGGAAAGGAAGGATAGAGGAAGGGATGGAAGGAAGGAAGGAAAGAAGGAAGGAAGGAAAGAGAGAGAGATTTTAAAGCTTGTGAAAAAGAATGAGAGGCTGAAGGGGATGGTTAGGAGAGGAGTTTGGGGTATGTGCGTGCGAATGTTCAGAATATTTCCTCCAAATTAATAAAGCATTTGTACTGATTTTGGAATTCTGATAACAAAAAAGCAGTTGCTTTTCAAATTGAACTTAAAAGGAACTTGAACACTTTAGATTTCTATTCCATTTTATACAAGGTGTTATTGTGTTTTGCTTCTTGAATTTGCACATACTTTATGAAAATACTCTGATGAAAGAACACAAAAAAATGTTCTCACAAGGGTGATTTTTGGACATTTTCTATTTTCTTGGCATGTTAGGTGACAATTCAATAATGCCTAAGTGGTACCTAATAAAACCTAACCCTGATGGAAATGATGAAGAAATCCAGGATTTGTAAATGAAATTGGAAAAGCTAATGACCTAACCAGAAAACTCAAGGAAACTTCTTACAGGTAGAATAAATCAAACAGAAAATAAAATATCAGGATTTCAGAATAAGGCAGAATACCTAGGCCAAATAAATAAATACATTTACAAATTAAAAATGAAAAGACAAACCTTTGAATTAGAGAAAAGTTGAGGAAATCCTTGGAAAATAGTATAGATGAGATCTTCAACAAAGCCAAAGCAAAAAAAGTTCTCCTTATGAAGGAAATAAATGCTCATATAGATGCAAAAAAGCACATAGAACACCACATAGACAAGACAAGAAACTCCCCACAGTTACACATGATTAAAACATTAAATATATAGAACAAAGAAACTGAATTAAAATCTGCAAAGCAAACCCATCACACGTAAAATGGAAAACCCATCAGAGTATCAACTTAGTTCTTGATGTACACTTTGTAAACAAGATGGGTGTAATCAATATATTCCTTTCAGAAATAATTTTAAACATTAATAATCTTAACTGTCTAAGATAAAGGCTGAAAGAAGGAATTGAGAAATAAAAGTCATCTACCTGATATCTACAGAAAACACATTGTAGCTTTAGAGATACACACTACCTTCAAGAGAAAGGGTAGGCAAAACATTTCAATCAAATCATACTAGAAAGCAAACAGACATTCCTATGTCAATATTTGACAAAATAAACTTCAAACTAAAACTAATGTTAAGAGTTTAAAAATAAAACCTTCATTCTAGTCAAGGGACCAATTAAAAAAGAACACATTATTATCCTAACATGTGTGCACCAAACTCTGGAGTACAAAATTTCATAAAAAATTATACTACTGAAATTAAAGACACAGATTAACATCAGCACATTAATATTCATTGATACCAGTATCCCACTTTCTCCAATAGACATTCCATCTGGACAAAAAATAGAGAAACATAAGAATTAATTGATACACATATCAAATGAACTTAAGAGGTATATACATAATATTCTTTCCAAGCACACACACACACACACACACACACACACACACACACACAAAATGCTTTCTACTTAGAAAGCAATGGAAGCTGGCTTCTAAATATACAATAGACTACAATTAGAATACAGAACTAGTCTTAACAAATTCAGTAAGACTAAAATAACTGTGTACCTTCTTTGGCCATAAAACAATAAAAGTTAAACTTGATAGCAAAGAAATCTCTAGTAAGCACACAAATACTTGGGGAAGTTAAAAAGCTCATGGCGGAATAACGAATTGGTCAAATAAGAAATCAAGAGAAATATAAGAATTTTCTTGGAACTAAGTATAAACAAAACACAATACAACAATATCTCTAACACACATTAAAGAAGTCCTATGAGGGACATTTACAACTCCAAATATCTACAGCAAAAAAAAAAAAATCATAAGGAACACAAATAAATGACTTATTGATGCAACTCAAAATTTTGGGGGAATAAGAACAAACCAAGTACAAACCTAGAGATACTAAAATCCTATCAGAAAAAATTAAAAGGTAAGTAATTTCAGCAATGTGGAAGTTTACAGATTCCACTTTCTTAAATCAATAGCTTTTCTATACAGCAACAACAAACAGAGACAGAAATCATTAATATACCTGCATTCATAATAAGATCAAGGAAAATAAAATGTGGAGGAGCAAATTTGATCAAAGAAGTAAAAGACTTCTACAATGAAATTCCTCAGTCTCTGAATAAAGAGATAAAAAAGATGCCAGAAAATGACAGGATATCCCATGTGTGGATTTCAAAAAACACTCACAAATCTTAATCAAAATCCCAACCTAATTCTTCACAGATATTAAAAAGTAACTATGCTAAAATTAAAATGGATCCAAAAATCACCATGAAACAAAAACAATCCTCATCATAGTGAAGTATACTGGAAGGAATACCATTCTCAACCTCCAAATATATTACAGAGCCACAGTAATAAAAACAATATGGTATTGACACAAAAACAGACAGACAAATGGAACCAAACATGACCACGCATAGCTACAGCTATCTGGCAGTAGAAAAAATATATAAAAAACATACACTGGAGAAAATATAGCATCTTTAAAAATGTTGCTGGGATAACTATATGTCACCATGAAATTAGACTCATATTTACCTCTGGGCACAAAACCCAGCTTTAATGAACCAAAGACCTTAATGTGAAACATTAAACACTGAAACACTAGAAGACAACATAGGCAATACTCTACATGATGTAGGTGTAGGAAAGGACTTTCTGAATAGGACTCTATTTGTTCAGGAATTGAGGCCAGCAATTAATAAACTGAGGCTTGAAAGACTAAACAGCTTTTGCGTAGCTAAAGAAACAATTAGTGGAGTGAAGGGAAAGTCAACAGAGTGGAGATGATCTTTGCCAGGTGTATATTTGACAGAGGATTAACATCCATAATATACCAAACACACACATACACACACACACACACACACACACACACACACAGAGACACACAGACACACAGAGAGAGAGAGAGAGAGAGAGAGAGAACTAAAACAAGCAAACAAGCAAAAACAAAAAAAGAGAAACCAAAGAACCCACTAAAAAACTGGGCTTTGGCTATGAACAGAGAATTCTCAAAGGAAGAAATAAACATGGCTGAAAACCATTAGACTGCTGGTATTGGGGAAGTTAGCAAATCAAGACAACTTAGAAATTTTATCTTACCTTAAATCAGCATGGCCAAGTTAAACAAAATGGGGGAAATCAGGAGCTTTAATTAGGGACAGGTTGGGAAGTAAATACAGAAGGATGCAGGATGATGAAACAACAGCAAGTATGCTTGAAAAAGTAATAAGGAAAATGTTTAGTATATGTTTACTTAGAATTACATATAGTGTGTGTGTGTTGTGTGTTTGTGTAGTTTGATGAAAACTTCCCCAGTGAACTGACAATGTTTCCTCTCCAATTTACAGCCTATTTAATAAGTACTCCAACACTAGACATGAGAGTCTTTTAATTTTTTCAGTATTTTCCAAGGGACTCCCAAAACAAAATAGACAATTGAAATTGCTATTGGTTGCCTCCAAGAAGTCGACAGCAAATCTATATTGCTTAGGACACTACATACTTTACATATAGGACCTGTAGGGTCTGGGCATTCTCCCATG